TGATCAAATAATTATGACAGCATAACATATTTTATTGAGGTCATTTGGCCTAGCGATATGATTCCCCTTTAGGGTGCGAGAAATCCCAACTTTATTTCTCGGAATGCCTCAACCTATACAGAAAGTCACATGGAGCTTTTGTTTTTCCTAATTTGCTGAATACATTCAACAGCTTCATGACTTCACAGAGCTTAATTTCCTCTCTGACCCTAGCTCCAACCTGCAACACATACATCTTCAATAAACACTGTTGAAAGATAGCTCCAACCTCTATTTTCTTCACTAGTCTTGAGCCCAAACTCATAGAGCTAGCTTTTTATAAGCTTACTTTTGTAGGAATTACATTCACATCACACCCCCCAACTTTCACTATCATGGAACTCCCATATACTTTGAACACCGTTGAAAGATGTAAAAGCATTAGAGTTTTGGGGGTGTCATTGTCTTTTTTGTGAAGTCTTTGGAGAGTTGATGATAGGGTTTGGAATAGAATCTGTTTATATGAGGAACAAAGACCTCCAAGAACAAGAGATAGAGAGATTAATTGACAAAATTCTTCATTGATAACCACAATCTAGATTTAGGCTATTAGATAGCCTTACACTTGACTCCAAATGACTCCCAAAAGGACTCTAATTGCCTAATTCAGATCTAATAAGATATTTTATCATAATTATAAAAGAATAATAAGATAATCATAATTCTATCTTAATAAGATAATAGCATAATTATAAAAGATAATTATAAAAGGCTTAACATAATTATAAAAGATAATAATAAAAGACTTAACATAATTATCCTAATTCTAAAATAATCCTTACATTGCCTTCCCCTTCGGCTCAACCTTGTCCTCAAGGTTGCAAGGTACAACACCATCAATAGCAGTTATCCCGGTTCATCCTTGTGCTCATCATCCTCCTCCTACATGAGCAAGAGAAAGAACTTGGCCCTATAGCGATGCTCAGGTTGAAAGCGCTCATCGCAATTATAGCACAAACCTTTGTTGCGCTGTTCTTGCATCTGTGCTGCCGTGAGTCACTTAACAGGCAAGGAATCTGATTGGTTTGGAGTCGACAAAAGGGCTTGATGTGCTGAAGGAACATTAGGAGTTGATTTATAGGATCGCAAGATTGGGGGCAGGCAAATTGCAAGTATAGTTGTAGATCTTACAGCTTGTCCTCCTGAAAGCGAGCAAGACTCATGGCATGGTTGAGGGTGTGAGGCCAGAAGGATTGCACCTCCGTTTGAATTTCTGGTTTGAGCCCTAATACAAAGCAACTTAGAAGCGACGTACCTGAAAGGCCAAAAACTTGATTAGAGAGTTCCTCAAATTCTGTTTGATAAGCGACTACAGAACCTGCTTGAGTAACTTTCGCCAACTGCCCTTGGTAATCCACAAATTTTGAAGGCCCAAAACGAATATCTAAATCTTGTAAGAAAGAATGTTAGGAACAAATCTGCCTATTGGAATGCATCCAATGATACATGGAGAGAGCTGGCCCATTCATGTGGAAGGAAGAGATCTTCAATTGTTGCTCGATAAGGATATTATGGTAATCAAAGAATTGCTTGGCTTTAAACCTCCAGCCACGGGGATTTGTGCCATAAAAAACAAGGGACTTCTAAACAGAAAGACTTGGGAAAAAAAACTCTCGAAAGTCGATCCACGTCGCCCAGTCAAATCTGAAGATGATTCACCAAAATGTTGGTTTTGCTGGCAGGTTTGATCGAACTTGTTGTTTAGAGCTGAAATCTGCATCTTGAAAACCACTTGCCAAAACTTCCAATTTCTCTATTAAAGAAGTGAAAGTCTCTGCCTAGGTAGATTGTAGGGCCGTAATTTTAGCAAGCTGCTCATCTAAAAGACGCAAGCGAGTGCCTTTAGCCATAACTAGGGAACGAGAGCACCAATGATAGGGTTTGGGATATGATCTGTTTATATTAGGAACAGAGACCTCCAAGAACAAGAGATAGAGAGATTAATTGATAAAATTTGTCATTGATAACCACAATCTAGATTTAGGCTATTACATAGCCTCACACTTGACTCCAAATGACTCCCAAAAGGACTCTAATTGCCTAATTCAAATCTAATAAGATATTATATCATAATTATAAAAGACTTAACATAATTATAAAAGATAATAATAAAAGACATAACATAATTATCCTAATTCTAAAATAATTAATCTTAACAGTTGATTAGTAATCTAAGGTTATCAATGTAATTTCTCTTAAGAACTAATGAAAGAAATGATGTAATACCCCAAAAAAGCATGTAATAATGTTAGGTCCGCAACCTAATCTCACAACCTCTGACGTGACAACTCGTCATTGGTTAGCTCACAAATGGATAGGCAAGACCCATACAAGTAGACAGGACCCATTTTGCGAGCTGACTAATGACGAGCTGCCACGTCGGGGGTTATGAGAGAAGGTTGTGAGATTGGGTTATGGACTTGACATTACTTAAAAGCATGTCACATGACAATCATACATTAATAAGATAAAGAATAAATTATTGATTGAGGGACCATTGCCCCCATTATATAGCATGGTCCAAAAGTCACACTAGTACTTATAATGTTAGTCAGCACCAAATCCATAAGACCTAAAGCCTTATAATTGACGATTACAAACATATTAGTTAGCTCTCATTTTCAAATTTTTAAAAATACCATTCAAATTGTTATTACGAGAGTGAACTACATGTTCCCACCCAAGGTTTAGTGAAATGGTAGTTCCTACCCTTGGTTTCATAAATTTCAGATTTCCACCCTTAAATTTTAACTTTCAAATATAGTGAGGCTCAAGTTAGCACACTAATGTGCCCTGTGCTCCTTTGGCTAAGTGGGCTCATGTTAGCAAGAACCGACTCACATTAGCATCGCCCAAGCCGCTAGTTTTTTTGGCATTTTTTGACCTATGCCAAACTCCAAAATAATTTCTAAGACCACTGTTGGACTCCCCAGAACCTCCTCTACAAAACCCATACCCTCACTTGCCATCATCACTCACTTTTCTGGCCACTCCCACACTTGCCACGTTGCACTTTTGGGTATCTTCTTGATCATTTTCTGTTCAATCAGAGAGCAACCGTCATCATTGAACTACACCAATAGAATCTCCTTGTGTTTTAGTTTGTGTGAATATGTTCTTTGGCCGTTTCTGACTTCCCGTTTGCCAGAAATTGAAGCTCAAAGTTGCGCCCGCTACTGCTCGATAAAAGGCCCAAGTCAGTTTTCTAGATTCCCACCCTTAGTTGAGTAGTCACTAACGGTGTTTAATTAAGGGTGGGAATCTGGAATAAATGAAACCAGGGGAACTTGCCATTTCAATAAACCTTGAGTGGGAACATGTCATTTACTCTTATTACGATGCTATAATTAATTATCATGCTATTATAATAAATTCTTATAAGATATTATCAGATAGGGGGCGTTTGGATCATATAATGTTTTTTTATCTTAGTAATAAGATTACCGAAAAGAAATATTACCTTGTAGATTACCGGGTTTAAATTATTATTATGCTTGGTTCAATTGTGATGTATTAATAATTAATGTGTTTGGTTGATAGTAATAACAGATGTCCTAAAATACCTTTTACTAAAATGCCCTTTAGATGATTATTAGATATAAATAATTAAGGGCTTGTTTGTTTTATTATTTGAAACCTTATTCTTTATCCTATTCCCAAAATACTTATTTGTTTAATTATTACTTTTTTGTTTAATTATTTTGGGAAATACTATTCTATTTTTTTAATTACTTTTAGACTCCTTAAGTTTATTAACTTAATTAAACACCCCTAGAAAAGAAAAGTTTAAAAATTAACCAAAACAACCTCACCCACCCATAGTTGTCAGATTCTGGCAACCACCGTCAGTGGTGGCTGGAACCTGTCACAACGGCCAGATCTATGGTGGATCTGGCCGGAAAAGGCTAGATCTGGCCATCAGATACAGCCAAAAAGTTAGTCGTCATTGACCATTAATGACGGCCGAAAAAGGCTAGATCGGTGAATAAACAGCCATATTTGACACGCTGAGTCGTAACAGTAGATTCAGACCAGATTTCGACTGTGGTTGCCGGAATCTGGCACTGTGGTGGTAGGGGTGTTTTTGTCATTTTACAAATTGGGTGTTTTGTAATTATTAACCAAGCCAAGGATATTTTCGTCTACATAATATACTGTTTAGGGGCAAGATTAGACAGAAATTATGATTACTCGGTAACGTTTTAATAACAGCCCCCCATGAGGTACAAATATTCCCAGCAATTTACCCCCCTTTGAGCACTGTTTGTCATCTTTTTTTCCCATAATTTTTTTTTACAAAAATGCCAACCACGGTAATCAACTAAATTAAACAAATATTACCCTTGTTAAAAAATTTAAACCGGATCCAAACGAGCCATAGGGTACAATTTTTTTAACTCTTTAATAGGAGGATCCAAACTACAAATTGTTCAATTAACATATATTTAATAGTGATTTGTTATTAATTTTAATGGAAAATAATAAAAAAACTTACATACCTTCAACCTTTTTTCTAACTAAATTTAGTTAAATAAATTTAACCACTAGTCTTCTGGTAAGACGGCAAGACTTTAGCCATCTCGGTGGATTACTCCTGTATGACCTTGTGTCGAGTCCCACAAAGTCGCTACTTACTACATTTGTGTCTTACCTGATCCATTGAGTTTGTAGAGTGTTTAATATACCCCGGCAGAGATTGGTTGAGAGGACAGTACCGTAGTTATCAAAATAATAATAATAATAAAATTTAAAAGACATATGTCAATTCACATTTGTGTCTTACATACTTGACTCATTCGGTTTGTAGAGTGTGCAATGAATCCCAAGGATGGGGATTAATGGAGGGGACACATAGTTATCAAAATAATAATAATAACAACAACAACAACAATCACAATGATAATAATAATAAAATTTAAAAGACATATGTCAAATTTTAATTGGTTTGCGGTACCAATTCATAATGGTAAGTCAGTACCCATGCTAGTATAGATTTCACACACCTTGAGAAATAAAATCTCACTACATATATAAAAGTTTTGCAACAAACTCTTGTATGTTCTTATCAGTACTTCCACCTTCATCAACTGCCTCTTTCGCCAAATCCTTCCATTTCTTTGAATTCCTCTTAATCTCCTTCCCTCTTTCTCCTTCCATGACTTCCCTTATGCAAACCGCAATCTCCTCTCTTTTCACAATCCCTTCTCCATTCTCCCTCGCCCTCATCCCAACCCCCCACACATCCTCAATAAACTTGGCGTTCGTTGGCTGATCCGTCCATTGCGGCATTGCCACCATCGGCACCCCCACGCTTACCGCCTCAAGCGTCGAGTTCCACCCGCAATGTGTCATGAAACACCCCACTGACTCGTGAGCTAGAACTTCTAGCTGAGAGCACCAGCTCACCACCAAACCCTTCTCGGATGTTTCCTCCGAGAAATTTTTCGGAAGCTTATCAGATTCGGATTCCCTGACTACCCACAGGAAGAAGATGTTGCTGTTCTTTAGTCCCCATGCGATTTCTTCCATTTGGCTTTTTTCAAGGGCTGCCAGGCTTCCGAATGAAACGTAAATGACTGAGGCTGGTTGCTTTGAGTCAAGCCATTTCAGGTAGGTTTCGGTGTTTGGTTTGAAGAGGTTGAGGCCATAATCTTTGTCGTTCTTCAACCGATTGTCTAAGTATTTTGATGGTATGGTTGGTCCGATTGCCTTGACTGGAAGTTGAGTTGCCATCCAGGTGATTGGCTGTAGAAAGTTAGCCAATCCAAACTATTTAAAAATGATAAATGGGGTTAGGGAGAATTCAAACTTTATGATATATAAACGAGCTCCAGGGCAAAAAGAGCTCAATCACATATATACACCATAACAAGATACTGAATTAGTGATGTGGGACAAATACAGCCTCTAATAAAAAATATAAAAAGAAGAGAAAAATATAGAATTATAATATTTGCATAACTTATAAAATTCTTTCAAATTAACACTTATTTTATTCGTCTCGAAGAACTTGTCTCTGATATGGTAGGGTTGATTTACATATGCAATTTTGTGATATAATCTTGATTTGAAAATGAAGTTTTTGTTTTGTGAAAGTGGAGGGAGAAGATAAAAGAAAAAAAATGAATTTTATAAGAGAAATATTCTCTCTTAGCTCTTATAAATGCTCTATTTTGTGAAAATAAAAATGAAAGATTCATATACGAACACTGATCCCATATTTACCTCCTCTTCCAGCTTATCAAAACTACTAAAGAATAGCCAGTTTACTTCTTCAATATTGGAGAATTGATTGAGGCACAGGTCTATCAAAGACGGGTAAGTGCCACTTCCATTAAGAAACGATGGTAGCTCATTGATCTTGAGCGGTGGCAAAGAAGGCAGCAACACCATAGCTTGATCTTCAAAAGCATTAACTTTGCTTTTCTCTCGATAAAACTGATAATACATGGTATTACAAGACCAAGATTGAGTGAAAAATGGAGCTCCATCGATACCGAATCTCTTCGTGATGTCTAGTGCCCACGGTATAATCGAGTCATAAACGAGAAATTTAGGCGGGTAGTTAGAACTCATTTGATTCTCGATGAACGCAGCGAGACTCGGTGCAACAACAGTCTTGTAATGCTCGAAATAATCTTGAGTTTCATCTCTTTCACACTCTTTGGAAGTTTTAGGAATGTCCCTGAGGTCGACATCGAGGAGTTCAACATCGACGGGGCTGCAGGATTGAGTTTTGATGAGCTTACTGCTGGCTGAAATGGTGGAGACTAGAGTCACCTTGAGGCCTTTTGAGGCCAAACGTTTGCAAAATTGAAGAATAGGGTTCAAGTGACCTTGAACAGCAAAACTATAACACAAAATATGAGCTTTACTCTTCACGTTTTGCTCTGAAATCTCCATTAATTTTGTTTTCTTTCCTCTTTGATGATCTCTCTTTCTTCTTGCTTGGTCCACTACAGCACAAAAGCGATAAGATTTGTTCTTATGAACTAAAAAAACAAAGAAGAGGTAATGCCAAAATGATGTGTTGAAAGGTGGTTTGCTTGCCCTTCATGATGGTAATTGATCAAAGCAAAATTCCAAAGGAGGCTTCACGTGCTTCTAGAAGATAAGAGAATACCGAATGTTGAATGAAAATCTGGTCAACGTAGCCGCCTATTAAGCTCTTAATTGAGATAATAATTTAATATGATATCAGAATATATTTTATAAAGAATAAAGAATGTACACTAAGAAGGAGAGACTCTAGCGAACTCAACACCAAAAAGACAAAAAAAGCTGCTTGGAAAAACAATCCTACCTAAAACAACAAGCTATCCACAAAGCAAAAAGACTAACAAAAAACTCAAAGGGGTTGGTCTGACAGTAATGAGGTTTACTCTCTTCCTTGAGTTCTTAGGTTTAAATTATAGGGTTATTTATCACAACAACATAGTGACTTACTTGATCCGTTAGGCTTGTAGAGTATTCAATGAATCTCGGAGATTAGTTGAGATGTACGTAAGCTTATTTAGACACTCCGATTACCCCCACCCAAAAAAAAAAAAAAAAAAAAGAGCAGCAAAACAAAAAGCAGCAGGTCACATGCAGCCAACAAAAATCCTGTAAAACAAAAACTGTGCAACAAAAACAAGAACTTCTATGCAAAGGAAAGCCTCCAAACATATTACAAGTTGAAATCTTTGTTTATATTTCATATGATAAAAAAGTAAAAAATCCAAATTTCATGTGAAGGATTTACTAGACTTGAATATAAAATTTTAAACCCTCAGTTATTAATTTAAACTTTTAGGTGAATTAACAAATTTATGTCAGAATGATTCTACAATCTTAGCTTATTCTTAATTAATTATTTTTGCTAGTGGAATTTTTTAATTAATTAAGTGCAACCACTCTTGACTGATTAGAGCAGCATAAATTGTCTGTGACTTAGTTGTTATATGTATTATTTGATTTAAAAATTATATCCATGTTGATTTGAACCTCTTTGATTAAAATAGATGATCAAGATCGTAGTCTTTATAGTATCTTATATCAATTGGCAGTTAATCTTTAAACTCAATTAATGGTTATTGATAATGGATTATATTCGTAAATTTATGAACTAGTTTTAGCTCATGGTATTTGTGGCAAGATTTAAGTTGGATTAGATTCACAAATTAATGGTTATTATTGATAATGATGTTCCCGATTCCTAAATGAAACAAACTTGATTTGGTCTATAAAGAGTGTTGATGCTTGATTTTGACATTAACTATTCGCACGTGTGAAGTGCTGAGCGGACTTAGAAATCACAAGTGATATGAAAGTGCAAAAAGGAGATATGGAGCGGGTAGAAATTTTTAAAGTGGTTCGGATGCGCTAAGGCAAATCCTATATCCACTGTGGTTATATTAATGATTGATTACAATCAGGTCGCACTCGGCGAGCTGAATTACAATAGAGAAGATAAATAAGTGTAGAGAGAGAGGAAGAGAGCGTATATGTTTTAAGTGGTGGATGAGTCAATCCTGTAAAATAGAGGAGAGTCCTCTATTTGTAGTTGGAGATTCAAGCTAGTAATCATGATTCTGCATGCGGGCAGGTGTGGTACAATTTCTAACCCGCTTCCCATTGGTTGTCTACACGAGAGATATCCTTAAATCGTGTATGGCTTCAGCAGGTGGACAATTCCCAGCCACTCATAGGCCTAGCGTTCACCTGCCTTATTGACAATGGCCTTACCCCTCTCGTCCTTGCGGAACGTGGCTGCATCTAGACGGCAGAAAACCTCCTTAAATTCTGATTGGTTTCTACTGATGCATGCTTACATCAGCCCTGGTTTTTGGGCATAACAGAAGCCCCCCAGTTTTCAAGATTTAAGGATTGAACCTTGAGAACTTCATGATTAGACCGCGACCTGGTTTGTCTCGGATGATGCTTGATCGAACCAATCAAGCTATATGGATCCTTGAGAACTATATTAGCGACGTAATGTGGTTTTTTATGACAAGTTCAACGACTTGATTCAGATTGTAATCAGTGTCATATCAACAGCCCTGAGTCTCGACCCTAACTCACGACCTGAAAAAGTCTCATCACATCTCTTATCAAAGGCGAGGAGTTGCATTGCTTTGAAATTGACATGCGACAAAGAGTGTAAATTCGAACAACCTCTTCAAATGTTATCCGTTGCTCGTAACAGTTCACCTAACCAATAAAATATCCTTTATTCTGACAGGCTTGTCCATTACGTGATAAGTGCCAACCATGTGCATTTAATGCGAGTCATGCTTAAACAACATTCTCCTTCAAGGCATTAAATACGGATAGGGGCGCATTTAATGTGGAGGAGGGTAAGTGTGCCATCGTTTGGTTATTCCAATGGAGGGAAACATCGATTGGTGTTTACAAAGCATGGGGGTTACTCTTTTCACAGATTATCAACATGTGGTCGTAATCAATGGCGAGAAACGTGTCCCACCCAAACGTCGCTTGCCCAGGAAACCAACCATTACATTTCCCCTATAAAACCCGAATTTGCTTCATATTGGCCACAGAACTCACATTCTCAGAAAGAAAAACGAAACTCTAGTAAAAGTCATCCCGCCTTCTTCTGTTGATGTGCACCGTCCATTACAACAGAAAACTCTTCCCACACCGCCAAGAGGTAAAAAGAGTTTTTCCCTCGCTTTCTTCCATTATTCGATGTTATGTTCGACTTTCTTGGTAATGGCTGGCACGGGCCATTCGGTGAGATTTTGCAGTGCGTATCCTAGGATAGTGGTGAGCGGAGGGGTTTAGTTTTTTTTAAAGATGAGAAGTTCAGGGCACAGATCGTTGGGGTTCACCCCCAAAAGGTTTTTGAGGGTTTTTCTAGGGTTTTGGAAGGATGCATTAGGGTTTTCTTTGTCCTTCCACTTCACCGTTTGGAACATCATACGAGGACTAAGCCTTTTTTCTTTCTTTTATTATATTTTTATTTTTATTTTTTTTATGTCGCCCCTTTTTCAGACCTTAGGAACAATGGACGCCTCAGCGACCAGGGCAGCCGAGGGCACGAGCTCGCATGCACCAGCCGCCCAAGTGGGTTCGGTGCCAGAGACCTTGTCAGTGATCACCCGAGAGGAGATACAAAAGACAGTGACCAATACGCGCTTAGCGTGAATTTTTATCTGCCCCCAGAGGGAAAGGTAGCGATCTCGAAGACGATCTTTAAGTGTGGTGCGCTGATACCTTTTCATCCTTTCATTAGGTCGATCCTTAACCACTTCGAGGTCGCACTAATGCAATTAACGCCCAATGCGTATATGATAGCTATTGCTATGTATATCGCATGTGGCGAGAACGGCCTTGGCGAGCTAATGGCACTAGAGTTCGCGTGCTCTTACTATCTGAAGAAGAGCAAAGACAAAGATTTTTTCTACCTCTCGAAGCGATCTACGATCGAGGGAGGAATATTTGATTACCCCAGCAATGTCAGGGCTTATGAAACTAAGTTTTTCTTTTTTGAATACGATGGCGTCTACCAGTTTAGAGAGCCAAGTAGGTTTTTCCTTTCCATTTGCGAACTGCTCCACCTTCGGTTTTTGTGTCTAACGAAACTTTTTGTCTCTTCGTAGGAAATAAGACGACCAGGTTGGGAAATCTAATAGATTACAATCAAATCGTTGTGTTTGACCGTCTTCCCAACCATTGTCGCAATGCGAGACTCTTTGTGACCACTGCCAACTTGAGGAAGTACAGCTTTTTTAATCCGGAAGCATCCTTAGAGTCAGACCATGAGAATCCTTATACTTAGAATGCTTTTTTGTTGCCTGCAATGACCTGTCTTCCTAACATATTTCTATGGTGCACAGCGATCATGCCGCCCAAGGTGCCGAGAAAGTTTGTGTTTTCCTGGGTTGCTCCGACTAAGCCAATCGAGGAGCGATCCCTGGTGATATCCCCACAGGAGGGATACAAATTGGCCCTGAAGGGAAAACACCGCCAGAGCGACATGAGGAAGCTCCTTGGTCTACGGCTGCTTGGGCCCCCAAGCAGAAAACCACGGGCCAAAAAACTAAGAAAAGAAAATAGCTACAGGCCAAGGAATCGAAGTCTGAGTCAGAGGGCGCTGGGGTGCAGCCCAGGAGTTCACAGCCTTATCAGGCTTTTCGCTCGAGGCACGTGTCGGGCGTCTCAATGATCCCCGAGAGCTCGGGCCGAAGAGAGGGGGAAACTATGGTTACTGCAGGAGAGCGAGCAAGCAGCGGGTCGATGAGTTGTCAATTCTTGCAGAGGTAGGTACGCTAGTGTTGGATTCCATGGGCAACTCCTAGAGAACTTGCAGTCGGTGGTGTACACCCATTGGAGTGCCAACTGACTTCGACCTTTGAGGAGCTCATGGCTTCCCAGCCCACGAACTTCATGACCACTGCTCTTCAGCTACAAAGCCAGGTAGGGTGATTCGTCCTCATCGAGGACTTCAAACTTAGCCTTAATAATTTTTGAAAAAATGGGAGTTAATTTCTGAAAAAATACCCTTTCTTTTGCAGACCCTGCTCACTTTGCACATGGCCCAACAGAAGATCAACCTAGACTATGCCGGAGGGATCCACGACCTGGAAGAGGAGAATGTCAAACTGAAGAAGGACCTCGAAGAGTAGGCTGCAAAAGCAAAGTTGTTCAATCTCAAAGCGAATCAGTACCTGGCAAAGAAAAACTCTGCCCTTAGCACCGTGGATTTCCAGAAGGCTGAGCTCGAAAGGAGAGGTGAAAAGGTCAAACAGTTCCAGAGAACAGTAGCCAAACTCACCAAAGTGGATGGCAAGACAGAGAAGGAGCTAAAGGCGAGCTTAGAGTGTCTCACGAAGGCAGAGGAAGAAAGAGCTCGATTTTGGAAGAACTCCGAGAAGCAGAAGCAAGCATTGGAAATGGACCTCGAGCTTTCCCGAGGGTGGGTCACTTCATTGACTGACTAGATAAAGCGGCAGAGCCTTGAGCTTGAAAGGAAAGCCGCTGACTAGGCCATTCAGGCTATTTGTACCTTGCAACCAAGGAACCCGGGAATGGATCTCTTCGACTTCCCACCTGATTATCAAGACATCCTTGCTTCCAT